ATGGTATTTATAAAACTAAAACGGATTAGTACAATCAACTCATGAGTTGGTTTAGTGAGCTAATGATTGTTAGTAAAGACTGTGTTTAATGAACTTATATTGTTATGTTTATAGTATTTCCAAAACGAATATTTATTGGGGGAACGAGTTTCCTTAAGAAACATTAGTTTTGCCCACTATCCGGGTTTACAGTGCATCACTGCTCCATAAAGTATCAGTTGAAATCGCTCACTTTTAGTATTTCACATTATTTCACACATTATTTGGTGCACAGTCGGTTGAGCGTTTGTCATGTATCAAAAAAAAATAGCGAGTTCAAACCATGCAAATTAAAGAAGAAATATCTTTTGGACCTTAAACATGATCTTGAAAACATTTACTTTGGCATGTTTTAGAATGTGAAATCATTTCCCATGAAGAAAATCTATGGATAAACATGTGTAAAGGATAAGGGAACGATTATAGTAATGAAACATCTCCATCTGGTGGTAGAAGTTGAGAACTACATTCTTATACAATACATTTGACGCCATGTGGCTGCAAAGAATGTTGTTGGAGAAATCCCCAAAAACAGTTTAGTTTTAAAAGGCAAAAACGGCTCTGAACATGATTTCTTCATAATGTACCAAGGTTGAGAGGAGAGCATTCAGACTGAAGGGGCGGGGGGATGCGTTTGAAAGCAAAAGGCGATAAAACAGATTGGTTTCATTGATAAGTTACTGCTGTAAGCCTAGCCTGTGAGACGTGAGTAAGGAAGAGGATCCTCTGAGACTTTGCTAGAAATGATTGTGTTTTTTGACAGTTGGAAAGTTCCTAATGTTGAATTTGCATTTAAAATTCACATTGAAATACATTTTTGTTCAGATCTCCAGAACAATTGGAAAGAAGTCGGCTAAACATTTCCGAAGGCAAGCAAAGGCACATATCAAAACTAGGGTTGGATAAAACAATTTTTTGAGAAATGATACGTTTTTTCAAGTTAATCCGATTATTCTTTCAACTAATCAGCATGATTTTTAGATCTGCAAAAGTTAATGAATATGGTATTTAAAAAAAAAATCTTCAGCGACAACACTTGAAAAACACATTCCATTTAATTCTGCCGACATTAGAGAATTATCGGAGTCATTTCGAAATGTTTGAAAAGCTATCAATCTATAACCAACAATTTAAATAATAATGTAGCAATGAATCAATGAATATTATTAGCATGGATCTGGATTTGACTTTTCAAGAGAGATCGGGAGGAATGCAAAAGTGCTAATTGTCTTGTACTAGCTGTGGTTTGGCAGTGGGTGTGTTCAGTGGTGGCCAGAGAAGGTCAGGTCCCTGTAGGAGCAGACTCGTGTGCGCTCTCCGTAGAAGATTTTCCACCATTGCTGTCGTGTCAATCACCACTATTCACTTTCACTGCTGCCATAAACAAGACGCTGGTCTGTGGAAACGTCAGGATTCATAACAGTCTCATATACTCTTATAATCTCATTGATCTGTCCTGGTCATGGGTTGACATTACTAAATACTAAATCTAAAATACAGTGCCTTGCGAAAGTATTCGGCCCCCTTGAACCTTTTGCAACATTTCAGGCTTCAAACATAAAGATATAAAAAAAAAATGTTTTTGTCATGAATCAACAACAAGTGGGACACAATCATGAAGTGGAACGACATTTATTGGATAATTTAAACGTTTTTAACAAATAAAAAACTGAAAAGTGGGGCGTGCAATATTATTCTGCCCCTTTACTTTCAGTGCAGCAAACTCACTCCAGAAGTTCAGTGAGGATCTTTGAATGATCCAATGTTGTCCTAAATGACTGATGATGATAAATAGAATGCACCTGTGTGTAATCAAGTCTCCGTATAAATGCACCTGCTCTTTGATAGTCTCAGGGTTCTGTTTAAAGCGCAGAGGGAACCATGAAGACAAAGGAACACACCAGGTAGGTCCGAGATACTGTTGTGGAGAAGTTTAAAGCCGGATTTGGATACAAAAAGATTTCCCAAGCTTTAAACATCTCAAGGAGCACTGTGCAAGCAATTATATTGAAATGGAAGGAGTATCAGACCACTGCAAATCTACCAAGACCCGGCCGTCCCTCCAAACTTTCATCTCAAACAAGGAGAAGACTGATCAGAGATGCAGCCAAGAGGCCCATGATCACTCTGGATGAACTGCAGATAACTACAGCTGAGGTGGGAGAGTCTGTCCATAGGACAACAATCAGTCGTGCACTGCACAAATCTGGCCTTTATGGAAGAGTGGCATTTCTCAAAGATATCCATAAAAAGTATCTTTTAAAGTTTGCCACAAGCCACCTGGGAGACACACCAAACACGTGGAAGAAGGTGCTCTGGTCAGATGAAACCAAAATCGAACTTTTTGGCCACAATTCAAAACGATATGTTTGGCGTAAAAGCAACACAGCTCATCACCCTGAACACACCATCCCCACCTCAGCTGTAGTTATCTGCAGTTCATCCAGAGTGATCATGGGCCTCTTGGCTGCATCTCTGATCAATCTTCTCCTTGTTTGAGATGAAAGTTTGGAGGGATGGCCGGGTCTTGGTAGATTTGCAGTGGTCTGATACTCCTTCCATTTCAATATAATTGCTTGCACAGTGCTCCTTGAGATGTTTAAAGCTTGGGAAATCTTTTTGCATCCAAATCCGGCTTTAAACTTCTCCACAACAGTATCTCGGACCTGCCTGGTGTGTTCCTTTGTCTTCATGGTTCTCTCTGCGCTTTAAACAGAACCCTGAGACTATCAAGGAGCAGGTGCATTTATACGGAGACTTGATTACACACAGGTGCATTCTATTTATCATCATCAGTCATTTAGGACAACATTGGATCATTCAAAGATCCTCACTGAACTTCTGGACTGAGTTTGCTGCACTGAAAGTAAAGGGGCCGAATAATATTGCACGCCCCACTTTTCAGTTTTTTATTTGTTAAAAAAGTTTAAATTATCCAATAAATTTCGTTCCACTTCACGATTGTGTCCCACTTGTTGTTGATTCATGACAAAAAATTTAAATTTTATATCTTTATGTTTGAAGCCTGAAATGTGGCAAAATGTTGAAAGGTTCAAGGGGGCCGAATACTTTCGCAAGGCACTGTATGTGTATGTATGCATACTGTAGGTATGGTTATGTCTGTGTGTATATTTGTATGTGTGTGGGTATGTTCAACCGTATAACGTGAATTTAGGAATATGGGGTGGGAGCTCATAAGTTTTAGGGTTGACTTCTTCCCGCTCCTTTTTGAGCTTTGAGTGAAAAAAAGAAACCCCTTAAATGTATGTGTGAATGTAGGTACTGTTTGTATGTTTCTATCATGTATAATATGTAATTGGTGTAAAATCTATAATTGATTCCTGTTTATAAGCTTGACAAAAATCCAATCAATCAATCAATATTGTATCTAATTTAAAAAATATCAATGTTTACTGATCTAAAAAAAATTTTTAACAATTTTTCTCTCAATATTTGTGTATGTTTTCTTTTTTGCAGTCAAGATTGTGAATCCTAAGTTGAAGTTGAAGAGGAGAGAGAGCTCTGGATATGAGTGAATGTTTGCCTTGTTTTGGACGTATTGTAATGTATTGTGTTGTGTGTTTGTTTGAATGTTGTTGTATTAAATGTACTATAGCTTTCATGCGTTGCAGTACTGCATTGTAATACCATTTATTCGCCAGCTGCTGCCATTTGTAATTCTGTCATTTTGAGGACCCGCTTGGAAAAATTTAAGCTACAGTAAATCTCAAGGGGCCATTTCTTGTGATGAAGAAAATGTTAAACACACAAACAATGCTTGGACATGGTTAAAGTCTCAGTAAAGTTGCTATTCCAACAGCCAATCTCTGCTAATAGATTCCACTGACCCACTTCTCCAAAGTTTATTAGATTTTGGCTCCCACTACACTCACAGGGACAAGTGCACGTCCCATTGCTTGTGTGTAAGTGGGCCAGAGGCGAGGGACAGGACCGAGAATCCACAGGGAATGTCATTCTAAAAGTATGCTCAAATCCAAAATCTGGTGGAGGAAAAGACGTGCTACTAGTTTGACACAAAGTGGATTTTTTTTGCGGTCAAAAGGGAAAAAGAAAAAGTTAGTTAGCTAGTTTGGTGTGGTCTTGTTTTTATATATTTGAAAATTATTTGTCTCAAGCATGTGTACATTTAGGGGTTGAAATGTATAAGTAGAAAAAAAGTTAGCATATTGTCGGACATTATAGATTCTTCCTTGTTTCTACTTGCCCTTCTGTCGCTCCCCCTGCAATGCACCAGCTCTCCCATAGTCTCCGCCTCTCCTGCCCTTCACCACAAAAGATTAGAGAACATTTCACCTTTAAAACATCAACAACAAAAAAAGCAATGCTGATTCTATAAAGCTTCATTAAAGCCCTTGCATGGTTCCACACTCCATTTCTATGTAAAAATCAACAGCTCGTGCCTAATTTCAAGACAACATTTGCATTACCACTCTCCATTTTGCTTAACTTCATTGAACGAAATGACTCGGCTGTCTCATTATCATTGCCTTCTATTTATTCTTGGAGACAGATTGCAGCTATTCTTACTACAAGTCTGACTGTGGCATAAACAATTCTTCCCAAGTGTCTTCTTTGCTGTAATCTTCTACAGCTTTATGTCACCCAAACTTAGTACAATTTCATAACTGCCGTGGACTAACCAAGTGCTGACGTCGTCCGTAGTATTTGCCTCATCGTGGAAGAAGCAGATTAGAGTTAAGTAAAAAAAACTCATCCTCACTGCCCCATTCTCCTCTCTGCCCAGGACCTCTTCATCGATGGCCACTCTGTCACTTCCTCTCCCTCTGTCCGGAACCTCTGTGTTATACCAGACCCCACTTTCTCATTCAAACCACACATAAATTATATATTCTAAACATACTTTTTCCTTTTTCCTTCTCCGCCTCTCCTCACACAAGCCACAGCAGCAATCCTCCTCAGACAAACGTAGGCTGTGTGTGCTATAGGCTGAGGCTCCTGTGATGCTGCTTGACGAAGCGCTCTCTCTTCTCCCTCCTGACCTGGACGGGCGGCTCCGCGGGGCCCTTGTGTGCTGGCCCCTGCACCTCCACCAGGGTGCTGAGGGGCCGGGCGCGCACTCTCCGGTCCCCGCGCGTGCTCCCACAGTCGCTCATGTCGCCCAGGTGCTCCACGGAGTCGCACTTCTCCAGGTCTGAGGCGATGGTCTGCAGGCTGATGACGGACAGGCGGTCGGAGCCCTCGGGACCCTCAGAGCCCGCCTCCTCCGCCCCCCAGCCGCTCTGACGGTGACGCTCCACCCACTGCTGCGCCCAGTCGCTGTTGGCTTCTCCCACCTGCGGGGTGACGAAGGGCGCATGAGATTATCCAGCAATTTCAAAGGCATTAAAAGGCCGGTGTATTTTGTACATAACTTTGAGGGAAAATAAATAATACAACAACTTTATTATTAGTTAGTGACCTGAATCTCATCCATCTACTACTACTACTACTACTACTTCCACTACTACTACTATTAGATAAAAAAAAAAACACTAAAATAAATAAATAAAAAAAATGTAAAAAGTAAAATATATAAATTGTTGATTAGCCGGGCTATGACCTATTACGCACACACACAAACACAGACAGAGACGGACAGACAAAGACACACAGACAGACACAGAGAGAGACACAGACACACACACAAACACACACAGACATGCACACACACTCACACAGACATATACACACACACACAGACATAGAGAGAGACACAGACACACAGAGAGAGACATAGACAGACAGACACACAAACACACACACACGGACGCAGACACACACACACAGACACATACACGCACACACGGACGCAGACACACACACACGGACGCAGACACACACACACAGACACACACTCACACACGGACACAGACACACGCAAACACAGACACACACAAACACAGACACACACACACTTCCTCCAATAGGACTAATAAAGGCATCCATTCATTCATTCGTACACAGAGTTTCCCCCACCTGCACACTGACGCTGGCCCGGACCTCTGCCTCGGCCCCCACAGGAGAGCTGCGGCCCCCACACATCAGGTGCCCCCCCCGGCTCTTGGCCATGCGCCCTCTCTGAGCGTGGATCTGCTCGCTGATCTGCTCCAGGTTCCTGAGGGCCACAGAGTATCGCGTCTTCACTTTAGACACCTGCCCCTCCAGCAGCACCACTTTAGCCTTGTGCTCCTGAAACACACACACACAAACACAGAATAAGAGAGTCTCCGGGGCCTCTCCTCCAGGGGCCCACTTCCTTATTCAACCTGGCTAACGTCCAGTCTCTGCTGAAGGAGACAGACAGGCAGCGAGAGGCCTAGGAATGCTCTGTTTACTAATGTGACTTTATACTTGTGCCAAATGTTCAAATAAATAAACTAAAAAGTGTATTAAGATTACTATGAAGAGATCCTTTATATGTCACAAAGGGTAAATTTCAGTGTTGCATCACCAGTTACAGAACAGTAGAAATGAGGAGCACACAGCACAAAATAAGTGAACAATAATTCTCAAATAGAATAAAATCTCTAACTTCAGCATAAAGATAATATCTAGCTCAACACTTAATTTAGCTAGATATAGTTTTACACACAGTTTTACATTTAGTTAAGTTTTCATATGAATCAAGAAAGATGTGCAAAAAAGCAAAAGCGTGATCTCAAGTTTGGTAAATTGCAATAATTTGATCAGAAATAAATATGAGACCAGCTTAAATATTATGCACAGATATTTAAGTTGGGGGATATTTCTGTCATACCAGTCATTTTGTTCTGTTTTGAATTCAAATATCATCAAAACTAAATAAAATATCAAAATCGGTGCATATGGCCTTTCTCCTTGCTCCATAAAGTCAGTGTTGGGTGGACTGTTGATGAAACAACACCAACAACTTTAAAAAGCCTCTAAAATCTGGCCCTATTCCCTAATTCTGACTGAACAATAACTCTATACTAAAATAGATTAAAATGTCTTTAGCATAATTTTAAGCGTAAAAAAAAAGCAAGTGAGCGGTGAGAAAGCGAGTGTGTATGTTTTCCGTATGAGCGGGTGACCGGAGCTTGGTATGTTTTGGCGGCAGAATAAAGCCTGTCTCTTGAGCAACAGTGTGGAGTGTTAGCACCACACTTTGACTGTGAGGGTCACTACAGAGAAGGGAGTTTCACCGGGAGGAACTCATCCCTTCGGCCCTGGCTGGAGCGACAAATCTCCCCTGCGCCCTTCAACACAGTCCAGGGGCGTACAATGAGATAAGATATACACACACTTACTGTCCCAGGGGAAATTTGCTGTGGGAAACATGCAGTGCTACACATACTTGCATGAAAGAATGACATTAAAAAGGCATAAAAAACAGTACAGTAGTGCTTTGAAGTCTCTTTTTGGTCCAACTCTGCATCAAAATAAGTTAATTATTAGTTATCATTATTCAAAAGTGCCACTGAAGATGTGAAGAACGGAGAGCTTGGCCACAGGAAACTGCTACAATCTTGGTTCGCATGAGAACTATTCAAGAATTAGCCAAGATAATAATGAATGCTAATATCCCAGCAGCAGTGAAAGCCCTGCGCTGTGCTGTGTGAGGGCTCTTTGGCTCAGTGCGTCGTGATGAGTGGATTTGGCAGAAGCAGCAGACACAAATCATCTCTGTCTCTCACACTGCAGCTGATACAAGGACACGATTAACCCAGCACCCTGTAGCCGGCCTGCTCCTGACGGGAACCAGAGCACGCAGACACACGACTGACAACAAACAGGACGAGATCGTACCACCGAGAAAATAATTACACTGAAGGAAGACACATCGCTTTACCAAGAGTCAATTAAAAGAAAGTTAATTAAATGAGCAGCCAGACAGTGATGTATGATTGGATAATTGATGCCTTTACTCCTCCAACTACTACTTGGGTAGTAGTAGAGAATTGGAAGAAAGGGTAAAGTGTATCGCCAAGAGACCTAACAGCAGATCAAGTTTTGCTCAGTCGGGAATGCTCAAAAACTGAGGTACTATAAGCTAAACATGTATTCAATTCAATATATTCTTGCATAGCCATAAATCACAATTACTTGTCTCGGAGGACTTTACACAACGGTTGAATTCGCCAACACAGATCTGACAATCTAACAGTTCAAACACATTGGTCTGAAAGGGGCAGATGACCAATGTTCATAAATGTTGATAAATGCCCCTGTTATTGAATGTTGAGTGTCCTAGATCATCACCTCTGCCCTTCTGCATCTGCAAGGAACAACTCTAAAAGGTGAGAAACGTCGGGGAGCCCCACATTGAGAGAGGACGGACGGACGGGCTATAGATCCAGGACTCAGGCTGCAGGGGGAGGACAGAGGCGACGCAGCACTCGGGCAGCACCCAGGCGGGGGTCATGGGTCCCATCCTCACGACATGTATAAAGTGTTTGATATCTACTCGGATATCAGGAAGACTTTTTGAAATTGAGAGCAAAGAAGTGAATTATTATCACACAATAATAATCAGGCAGTAATCTGATTCTGTATGTAGATGGCCAATGCTATCACACTAGCTCTATAAAGCCTAACAAGGAAGTGCTCATGGATGAAGTTTAGCTCCTCACGAGGAATCCGTTCACTTACATTGAAAGTCATGTTATACCTAAAGGTAAAATCACATTTATTTATTTATTTATTACTGGGACAGTGCATATTAATGAACATTTCTGTAAATATGCCAGAATTAGCCAAACGGCTATTTTTCATCCGTAGTCCCATGTCTCCTGAAAAGATAAAAACATGTTTGCTACACAGTTAAAATAATAGATATATTTACAATATTTACAAGGACAAGACATTAAAACCTTCAGTCACACGTCGTTCAACAAACAACAATACACAATCACATGGAGACAGACTTAGAACACATACAGGCGCACACAGAGCATGCGGCCAGCAGGGGGCAGCGAGAGCAGGCGGAGTCAGTGCTGACAGGTGTGATTATCAATGAGCCAGTGTTTTAACTGTGTTTTGTACGTGAGGTAAGAGGGTGCATTTCTGATAGTTGTGGGTAGGAGGTTCCAATCTGAGGTGGCACGGACGGAGAATGAAGATTGACCAAATGTGCTTTTCCTGAGGGGGGTGATACAGTCCCCTCTCGCTGCCCCCCTGGTCCTGGTGTGGGTGCTGTTTCTGGTATTGATGAACTGACTGAGAGGTGGGGATGAAAGACCATGAAGGATTTTATAGACCAGACAGATATTGGAGAACTTGACCATGTTATCGAGAGTGAGACATAATTCCTTACTCTCAACAACAATCCCAGTGCGCAATCAGTAATAATTAGTAAAACAAACAAAAAAGAATATTCAAAATGTGCTCAAAATACTTCTATAATGTAAAGTAAAACGAATTGACACAAATAATATACTGTATATATTACTAGTTTTCCGTTCCTTCTCCGTCTTCTTTCAAATATCCCAAATACCCGTCAATATCCATAAAGACGTTATTACAGTAAATATGAGAGCCCTTACACCATGTTTATTTGGAGAGAGCATATTTTAAATTTCCTTTCTTTCTTTATGTTGTGTATTGTCATTGTGGACATGACAATACACAACATATTCTGAAAAGGAAAAATCTCCTGTACACTGTACACAGGGCTCCATCAGGAAAATGCATTTCCTGATGGAGCCCCACGGCCAAAGTCACAAATCATATTGAAGTTCACTCTGAGGCTTCTGCAGTTGAAATGAATCACGGATTAAGTCTAAATCTGAAACAATGTTGCCTTCGAACTCATCATAGGAACAATATCTACAATTGTCTGTAGTGAATTAAGGTTCCACATTCCTGATAGTATTTTCATCTTCCTCAGTCATCCTCGTCTGTCCACAGGTGTCCATGAGCCACAGATTTTCAAAGTTCATTTCAGACATACCGTGGTCAGGGTTGTGCTTTTTACTTTTGAATGCTCTGGAAACGGCAGCAAGCCCAAAGTATAGCTCTGAAACAGTTGTTGTTTTTAAATTTCTAGCTGTATGTTTTTCTCTTTCAGTACAGGATTCACGGTCCGAACCAAACAGATCAAGAGTAAATCCACAAGAGGGATGCTAATCTTGTTGAAAATTGCTAATAAAGCATTCAGTATTTTACTCCAGTGCAGAGATAATGGTCCGAACCAAACAGTAAATGTTAGAATTATGTATTTATTTGTTTTGTATGTATGGATGGATGTGTTTGTGCTACTGGACACCTGCATTTCTCCTACAGGGATCAATAAAGTATCTATCTATCTTTGTGATGCTGAAGTTGAAGCAGTATCTTCAGGCTGGGATCAGAGTCTGCTGCACTCCCCGATGCTGCTTTATCTGCGAGGCCACTGCAAGCTGCTATTCCCAGCTTTTCATTCAAAAGTTTCTTGATGAAGTCCACCATATTGCTGCCCTCTGCCTTTATTCTTCTTCTGGAGCGGCTTTTGATGTCATTGCACTTTTCCTCCAGCTGCTTTTGTTGCAACTTGGATGAGCACCTTGGTCATTTTTGGGTCACTGCTCACTTCCGCTTTTAGCGGCTTCATCCTTTTTTACATCCATATCATGCATTTCCCTCTTTATTTCAGAAACGTTTTGGGTTGTTTCTTTAGCTTTAGGAGAATATCAACAAATGTCTGAGTCGGCGTTTTACAGGCTTTTTCCTTATCCTTTTGTCTTTTTTTGCATCTTTGACTTCTCCTGTGAGACTTTTGAGTATTGGTTGTTTTGAACCAGAAAAGGTCTGTAAAATATATGTGTAGTGTGTCAGAAGCGGCATGGTCAGTTGCCATCTTTAAAATCTTCCATTAAAAATATTAACCAATTCAAACCCATTATAACGGCAGCAGTGTTATTTTGTGCAAATAATGCAAGCACAAAAGTACTGCAGCTGTTGCTAAGTCTAAGTGTAGAGGACAGTACAGGCCAGAGGAGCAGCAGACAGGTGCATGTGTTTGTCTCTCATATTTCCAACACACTTTTTTGACCGAAGTGTGTTGGAAATATGAGAGACAAACACATGCACCTGTCTGCTGCTCCTCAGTCTTTACATTCCACCTTTCTACTATCCTTTGAATTAGAGCAATTTTGAAAATGATTTCATTCATTAACAAGAAAACATTTTAGTGATTTAAAGTGCTCCATTTCCCTCCCCTTCAGTGAGTAATAGTTAAAGTGTCAGAGCTGCAGTTTCCGAAGCCTTATGGCCACAAATATGAGCGTGTAAGCACTCTCCAGCAGCCTCCTGCTTTGTGCAGAGGCAGCAGCCTCAGAGCTGAGACTGGCCCCCATCAGCAGCAGCAGTGCTCCCTCCAGGACCTCTTCAACAGGGGTTCAGAGCCATAGAGGTCTCTACCTTAATAAAACCTAATATCAAAGTCTGACAGACTTTGCATTAAAACACTATTCACAGTTATGACATGTTAGATTTATTCTTTACTAAAAGGACAGTATGTGATAAGCCTCTTCGTGGTCTAATAAAGTCATTACAATCACACTTACGTTGTCACGATGTTCCTTCTGTGACACAGCTCTGAAGCACTGATTACTGATGCAATCCACCTGCTGGGGTTCAGCTGGAAATGGAACACACTTCCCACAATTTAGAAACTAGATTTTGAGGATGAGAGGACACATATAAAAGATGTAGTAACTTGAAAATGAAAATAACATACTGTCCCTTTAAAATCACACAAATGGACAATTTCAATATTGCTTCTATGATTTGTAAATTGTTTGAATTTTATCAAAGAGAAAAGAGCATGAGAGAATTTGCTTGTGCCATTGGCAAATCATATTTTAAAACTTGTACTAAGAATGTACTAAGATAAAAGAAACCTTAAAGCATTTTTGAGTTTTTTGAGTAGATTTGATATTATTGGAAACAAAAATAATCAACAATATCACAGCAGACAGACAACAAGAAAGATAGGACAAATTAAATGTGTAAAATACATGTAGAGTTTAAAACATAAAGTTCTTGGAAGGCAATCCGATAAAAGTGGGTTTTAAGAAGTGATTTAGAAGAGGATGCTGATGGAGCTAGCCTAACCTCCTGGGGCAGGTCATTCCAGAGCCGAGGAACACCATATATAAGCTCAAAAATGTCTTCTTTAAAAGTATAGCTTTGTTGTGTTAGCATACTTCATATCATAGCAAAGACCAAACATAATATACTGACGGGTTCTAAACACTGGTGTTATTGCGTTCACGGCAGTAGCATGGTTGGGGCTCACCTCCAGGATGTGGTTGAACTGGGCCTTGAGTTCAAAGTAGGGTTTGGACTTGAGGATGACCTTCTTCAGGACCTTCTGCAGCGTCTGGACCCTGGCCTCTGCCTCCTGACAGAGCTGTGTGACCCTCTGGTGCTCCCTCTCACTGCGCAGACGCTCCTCCTCTGCCTCGTTCACCTGCACGTGCAAACAAACACACAACACCAGCTTTAACCTCTTCACCTGCACATCATTTTTCTTAAGGCTAGGCCCCTAGATAGCATTTAGGACAGGGGTACTCAAAATGTTTTGCTCCTACTCGCTTTGGTTCCTATTGGCTTACATTGAAAAGCTCAGTGGACTTGTGTCACACTCACTTGGGCTAAAAAAAATTGGTGGTTTAGCGCTCTCTATGATCCAGGTGTTTATATTTTGACTTTTGTTGTTGTAAATTGAGACAGGAGCCATGTAAGGACTGACCAAACAGCTGCTTTCATTGTTCCATCTTAGCAACATGTCTACCCCTGCTATGGCATGAAGCTGTGTGGGCATTTCTTCCACAACATAAGCTAGCTGGAGCTATAATAATCAATGGATATGGATTACTATTCTATAGCTGTTCCACCAATGAAAACGGGGCGCCTGCGGTACTGCAGACGAAATTCACGTGGGCTACTAGGGATGTAAAAAACTAGGAATTTTCATGACCGACCATCGAGCCTCATTAACCGCTTGAAACCGGTTAACCGCATAGTTTAAAATATCTTTGAAATAACAACCCTGCGAGCCCCGTACTTTTCATAAGTGCAGCTATGCGTTCTACTGGATCAGAGCCGAGACAGCGGAGCGATACCTGCAACAGCTTTGGCACCTTTGCGCACAGAGAACTGCTTTTTTAATCTTCCCATTCTTCTGTGCTGCGGGTTAAAGCATTTTTAGCAGCAAACGACGGCTCGTTCACATGGTCAGAGCAGCGAGTGACGAGCCGCGTCTCGCAGGTCTCCGCTAAAGTTTAAATACAAGTGATGTGTGTGGAGCTGATCTAATGCCAAGGACCATCAGCGCAAACATGTTCCATATAGTTTGACTGGAGCCGCGTATTTGCGCGGATCCTTTGGCCTCCGTGACACAGACGAGCGCGACAGACCGGCATGTGTGGAGAGCTGATGCGTGTGGATGTTACGTATCAATGGAGGGGGGGAAATGTGTGTGTGTGTGTGTGTGTGTGTGTGTGTGCGCGCGTGCGTGTGAGTGTGTGTGCGCGCGTGCGTGTGTGAGCGTGCGTGCATATGTGGCGCGTGCGACATGAAAGTCGGCCCAGAGTTTACTGATACATTGGCGCACACAGCTAGAGACAGACCCGCTCGTCACACCGTGCAAATAGGGCTTGAAATAGCGTATTTAAGAGATCTCCTCTCTCCCTCTTCTCTTTTTTTTACCGACAGCTTTCACGGTCAACCACCGGTTAAACGGTCACCGGTTTACATCCCTATGGGCTACCCAAAAAAATGTCCCATAGAACTCAATGTAAACTAAAACAGCTCGACCTCAGCTGACAGAGAACCTACAGCTCACATAAAGGTCGGATTTTGTGGGGATTTTAGTGTCCCTTGTCATCCTGAACTATTTTTCTTATTAAATCCTAGGGTTTTCTATAAATGTAAACTTTAATGCAACAAACTCTGCTCGTTTGGCTCCTGCTCTAACTCCGCTCTCATCACTAGCCGCTGATTGGTCAGAGCGCAGCTAAGCCCCTCTGTGCACGTGCGTGAGAGCCACACACGCATATTTGGCGCAAATCCTCATGGGAGCTTGTACACTGCGCAGAACCGGGAGGACCAGACAATGCCAAATATGGGCAAGTAAGTTAATCTTTTGGTCCCTATGGCTGTCCCATGCAGTACTGAGCAAGCCATTGATTTGATTATACTAATTGATAAATTATGACTAATTACATCCTGGGTTCATTGCATAGAGCAAACAAACATGAAGTGGTTTTCCTGAGACAAAAAACCAGTTGCAAGCATCGATGATTGCCACTGCCACTTCCGGAGTACACACCAAGGACTGTGTATATAATGGACAACCGTGGCAGGCCATGCTCAATCTACATATGAGTCACACAACCCTTTTCATTCAGCTAAATGTGTATACACAACTGGTGCATGTGTTTCCTAATGAAAAATACATTCTTGCACACATAGCGATGGGTATAATTTTTTCATCCAAATATTCATGATATTCATTACAGTCGCTCTGTTTACAAAGATGGAGACAGGGCTGGAGTCTCCCGGAACCTTGACAGCTGTCTGCTCCTCATCAGCTGCCGCAAACAGCCCAAAAATAGAGTGACAATGCATAATCCTCTGCGTTATTTAAAGAAGGAGCGCTACAAGTAACAAGAGCAAGAGACGTTTAGAAAATAACTCAGTTACAGCTTTTAGGAGTGAGAGCCAAAAGTTCCAGAGGAAACTGGAAGTTTCCCTACAGTGAAATGTAGTTTCCAGTTTACATTTTGCTTTGAAATGATTCACATTGTGCAAAGTTATAATGTTGTATCCTTACAATAATACGATGTTTGGACCACTGTAGTAGTAATGGACTGATTTTCTTATTTTTGTTAAATATAAACTAGCACAGTATTCATATAAAGTGTGTTATACTATTAGTACTATAGAGCTTTGCAGTTTTTTACCCAGGGCACCATATTCACCATATACATTTTGTAAAGGTTAATTTAGCAAAACATATTTGCACATAGTGGATGTTGATATTTTGCACAGAAGAGACACGTGTTGCTCTTAAAGCCTGTTTCCAAACTGCAGCTCATTATGCGTCAGTGATGCTGCTCCCTGCCACGTGCAGAGGTCACTTGGAGCTATACTTCTCTCGTGTACATGTGCAAATACTGACAGGAATGTCTTGCTTTAAAAGAGATTATTACATTTCACTTTATTCAGCTTGAAATTAATTAATGTTTGAGAAATATTCATCCTCATGCTCCAAGTCACCATAGCTCTGACAATCCCTGTTATCACCTCAGCCGGGACAGACATTTGTTACTCACTTTGTTTGCTAATATTCTTTATGTATGACACAGGTATTAAACAGTAACTTCACAAAGGCATTTAGCAATCTGCGTTTGCTGCTGTGTCAGCACTTGTTATCGCTATTGAAAAGCTTTTTCAATAGCAGTTTTAAAATACAGATTCATACAACGAACAGCTGCATCACGTCTGACAGTATATGAGCAGGAGAAGGAGACCGATGATGTAGTGGCTCTGATCCACACATGAGCTCTGCAGACACCATTAATCACCAGAGCAGCAGCAGCAGCAGCAGCCGAAGCAGAACGACCTTTACAGTTTAGCAAAGAAACAGGCAGCGCGCTTTCAAGAACACGCCTCTTCTCAAACACTACAATTATTCAGAAAGGAAGAGTCTGTCCTTGTCCTCAGCCAACAACTTTATTACAGTAGGTACATGGACTCGAGCTGCTTCAATAAAAAAGGTTAGTGAAACGTATCCAGCACATTCAGTCTTCCAAGCTCAAAGGTGGATTTGGGGCTCAAAAGGGGGATACCTCACTCATTGTTGTCATTTCATGCCATTTTCATCCCCTTTATTATTCCATTTCTGGGACGGGGGGTGGTAATCAGAGCTGCCACCCAAGTCTCAAAGCACCAGTCCCTCGCTGATCCTCCTGCAGGTGATGGGTCCACAGGAAGATGGCTTCTCTGTCATCAAAGACATGGCCTTGGTCTTTCAGAGGGTGACTGGTTCATTCTTGTTTGTTTGTTTGTTTTTATTCAGATCCCCATTAGCTACTGAAAGAAACAGTAGCTATTCTTCCTGGGGTCTATATACTCCGTGTCACATAATATAACGTACAAAGGACAAAAATGAATGTACAAAGAAATATATATATATTTGTATATACATTTATACAATTACACACATACATATGCACATATATACATATAAATATATACACATACACATACACACACAAACATACATACATACATACACATATGTATAACACACATATATATACACATATGCTTAAACAATAATACAGAAATGTTATAACAAAAATACACAGTAACCACATACACACACACACAAACACACACACACACACAAACACACACACACGGCAACATTAATAGCAGCAACAAAAATAATCTAAATTTTAAAAAATTCTACATTACATTTTAAACATTCAATTATCCAAATAATGTAAATACAACTCAAAAATACAAAACAAATCAATGCCATTCTTCAGTGAAAAGGAAAACTCATAATAAAATCGTTTATGAAGATCAAGTGCATTCATCCCAACTACGAGAAACTGTCCAAAATGATGTGCGCTGAGATGTTTCCAATACCACCCCGGGCCGATGGGGGTGGATTCGGAATAAGAATTATTCAATGCTAATGTATAGCATCTTCTTACCTCTCGAAAATGGCTTTACAGGATGGTCCAAAAGTCGGCTCTTGGCCCAACGCTGCGTTCCACATGTGTGTCAATGCTGAGGGGAGTACCTGTATATATTTTGGACCACTCTAGTTTAGTCGCTGTTAGTTTGAACGGAGGAGATATGCGTCACTAAGTCCGTTAATATTTACAGTCTATGGTTTCTGCTAGGGGTGGGAACCTAAGGATACCCCACGATACGATACGCGATACAAAGCTCACGATAACAATTCTATCACGATAACGATTATATCACAATATGACGATTATCGATATCTTGGTCAGAAATATACCATATCCAATATATGGCATACATAAAAATGTTAAGTGAAAAAATACACTTTATTTCATGATAAATGGAATGGAGATAAAGTATCCATATATTAAGTATTAATACTAAAAAATTGAAAAAATAAAATATTTTTTATTTTACCAAAATTGATACTTGGCAAATGCATATCGATAATCGATCGTGGGAGAAAGTAACGCGATATATTGATATATTGTCACACTCCTAGTCTCTGCACTGGCTTCCTGTGGCTCTGCTTGTTACAAGTCTCTCCATGGCCTCGCACCAAAATACATTAGTGACATTTAATGGGGCTTTCAGACCGCCAACGCTGAAACGCGGAAGCCCCGCTCACCAGACGCGCATTCTCTAGTTTACAGACGCAGAGGACTTCACACCAGAACGTCCTGACGCGAGCCGGAAGTACCG